CAAAAAAGACTGCTGGGAGAGAAAGGGAAAGAGAGAGGGAGAAAATGACTGCTACCATGGAAACATCCCAGTACGGAGATTTATTGTTTTGTCTCTTTTCCAGGGAACTTCTGTCAGTCTGCATTGCCTTTGTGCATGTTAAATTACGAAGTCAATCTCCTCATTTTATAAATAGAAACTTGTATATTTGTTGGCCAAAAAATGATTGTGCTGTCTGTTAGGTTCTAGTAGAGGAGAAAAAAAAATGCACTCCCCTTCCAGGCTAGCTTCACGATTATACATATGTAGATAAAACAACCATTTTAGCATATTGTCCTTTGAGAGGCACAAAAGAGAATATTTTACTATAGATCCTAAAGATATGTAGTCTAAAATGTCCTCTGTTTCCTCAAAAAAAAAAAAAAAAAAAGTGAAATTATGTCTGAGAAACTGGGGAGAGGAGTCCCCTCACCCTGAATAAGGCAGTATATTTAATGACAAGATTTTATGACCTGGACTCAAACTTTTGAAATAAATCATTTCCAGCTCCATTTGACAAAGGCTTTAGAGAATCGTCTAACAATAAATTAGAATTGAAAATTGATCTAGAGACAAATGTACTCCAAATGTCTAGAGAGGAACCACTAAGCTGCTATTCCTGCAAAGGAAATATTCCATTGAGCAACATCCTTATGGAACACCAAACAAAACTTTGTGGGGCTACACACGTTTTGATATTAATTGAATGATGCTGACTCTTACAAAGGGTATAGCAATACATAATTGTGCGCTGTGGAGGAGGCTGAGTTCCTGGTCTCTGTTAGTGGGATGTGCCTGGCAGATAATTATGGAACAACTCTCCCTTCCTCCTTTCTCAAAAACAATAGAGTTTCTCCTCTTCTTATCAAACTAACTCTATTAATAACCAGTTTCTCTGCTAGAAAAATCTTAATTCCATTTATTTGCTGCAATAGGTAGCAAAGTGTTTTTTTTTTTTTTCCTTTTTTTTTCTTCTTTTTTTTTTCTGCCTCAAGATATATACATTTATATATAGGACTAGTGCCTTTTCTGTGATTGATAGCAAATTAAGGGATGCGTTGGCTTTGTTTTAGGGCAAACACAGACCTAGAGGGTGGGACCTTCTAATCAGCTGTTCTGAAGTAATGCTTTCTGAAATCAATTCCCAAATGTATGCAGACTTGAATATTCAAAAATGTCTGGGGAAATTGTTTTCTGTTATGGCTGTTGGCTTGCTCAGGCATACCGAGGTAAAAAAGCGGCTCTCTTTTTTAATTATTAAGTCACATTACGTTAGGAACAAAAACAGCGGAAAAATGTACAATTGAGCTGAAATGAGCATACTGATGCTCACTTTCTACGTACAGCAGTGGGCAAACAGCAGTATACGTAGCTCTTGCAGCCTGTCATGAATCACCAACTTCTCGACAGGATGGTTTTACCAAGCCAAAAACAAAGGAGCCAAACCAGGTCAATTAAGCAAAGTGGTTTCTATCTTTACCATTTCTTTCTCGTTATTGTACTTTATTCATTAATGTAAATGGATCAGAAAAGAGACTAATCTGTCTCACGGCCCCAGGATATGAGCTCCCGAGCATCTCCTAGGAAATAAGTGACTGCAATTTTTCACTTGACAGAGCGGAGGGTGCTCGGCTCGCTGCAGGACTGGGCTTGTGCAGCTGTAGCCTCATACGCAGCAGTGCTGTCATTTTGTTAATTCAGTCTAATGCATATTTTTCCCACTTGTGTTCCTTTAAACAGAGTTTATTATTGGCTGGCTTAAACTGGACACACTGATGAGACATGGGTTTCTTTTGATGTATTCTAACTGAATTTATCTCATTTATACCAATAGTCAAGCTTCTGCTTGTCCTGGGACCTGATTCAATTTCTGCTGAAGTGAAAGAAAGAATGAAATCACCCCTCAGAATCTATTTACTTGAGCCTATTTCCAAAATTGTCATGGAACATAAAATAATTGTATTGTACCTGTATGATAAATTATAATTAGTCCTTTATATAGGGTATTACTGCCCACGGGAAAATGCATCACTCATAGAGCCCCTTAACTAAAATTCAGCTGCTATACAAATAAAGTTTTTGCTTGTTTGTTTGTTTTTATGAAATAGCAAAAAAGGAAGTAATAACACTAACAGTAATAACCGAAATAAACCTGCAAGTTATTTTATATGCCATGTTCTCCACTTCATTACATTAATTTTACTGCAGTCTAGCACTGTTCAGAGGTATTACCCGGACAGTAAATCAGATGCCCTATGGAACAATCTCACAAAATAATACTGTATGCAGTTTTAATATTAATATGTTGAGCTGCATTTAAATATATGGACATACTGTCTTTACCATTTGAAGCCTTCATTTTAATAATCCAAATGACATCTGGAATCCTCTATTGGCATTTATTTAGCTATATAGGATTTTTTTTTTTTACTTTGGCACTGCCATTGGAAAACTGATGTTCATAAAGTAAATTGAGCATAAAGATAAGACGTTTCTAGCTTTGCAAACCAATCATTTGCAATAAACTGAGGAGACAGAGGAAATGTTCAGAAAATCTGAAAATAAATTTCCATTAAAAATATCTTCCATATATGAGCTCTATTAATATTTCATGAAGAATAAAAATATGTAGTACTAATATTCTTCACAATGAGTTCCTGTTTAAAATAACAATCTCTTTTTTACCTATCAGTTTGCTAAGTTTGTCTCCATATATTAACTATCTCTTTTTTTCTTCTTCTTTATTTCAAGGAAATATACTAAATATGGCAGAAACTAAAACCTTCCAGCTTGGAGCAGCCTCCGCTGTCACCTTTTTCTTTGCCCTAATCTGTTGGGTTGATGCAGCTTCCTTCCAGCAATATCAGCTGCTTCAGAAGGACCCAGACTATGTAATGAAAAACTTACAAAGGTTTCCAAATCCTGATATGATCAAAGCTTTGGAATACATAGAAGATCTTCGCAAGCAAACTAACAAGGGAGAAAGCAGCCCTGATTACAACTCCTATCAAAGTGTCCCATACCTCCTGCAACAGAAAGAAAGCAAAGATCAGGTTCACCTACCAGAAAATGTGAGGGATTCTTTGACTGAAGATGAGTCTCAGTGGGTTAAGGTTATGTTGGAAGCCTTGCGACAAGCTGAGAAGGAGTCAAAAGTTGCCCCAAAGGAGAATAAACCTTATGGTCTGAGTTCCGACAATAGTTTTCCAGCTGGAGTAACAGATGATTACGAGGCTTACAAGTGGCCTGAGAGGTGGCAAAAATACCTCAAAATGCCTATTGGCCTCTATGAAGACAGTTCAAGAGACAGTCCTTTCAAGCGTACCAATGAAATAGTGGAAGAGCAATACACACCCCAAAGTCTTGCTACACTGGAGTCAGTGTTTCAGGAGTTGGGGAAGATGGCAGGACCTAGTAATCACAAGAAAGAGAGGCTCGATGAGGACCAGAAATTGTATGCAGACGATGAAGATGATGTGTATAAAGTGAATAACATTGCCTACGAAGATGTGGTTGGAGGAGAAGATTGGAATCCCATAGAGGAAAAAGTGGAAAGCCAAACGCAGGAAGAGATAAAAGACAGCAAAGAGGAAATTGATAAACATGAAGAGGAGATTGATGATGAAATGAAGAGATCAGGGAAACTCAGCTTCCCTGAGGATGAAATGAGAAGAGAGAATAAAGATCAAATGTCAGAGGATGTTTCAAAGCTAATGAATTATTACCTGAAGAGGCTGGTGGGCAATGCTGGAAATAGGAAATTAAGGACTGGAGGAGAACTTGAGGAGAAAAGAGCAGCCGCATTTTTGGATAAGCAACTTGATCCTCAGTCTATAGCTCAGTTAATAGAAATCTCAAGGAATTTACAAGTTCCTCCTGAGGATTTGATAGACATGTTGAAAGCTGGGGAAAAAAAGCAGCTTCAGAGCGAAAGGTTGGAAGCTGAGCAGGAAGCAGAGTTCCCAGAAGACCTTGATGAGATCGCTGAAGCTAATCTAGGACAGAGTGACATATTTAAAAGTAATGTAAACTCTAAAAATGGGTACATGAAGCAGCCTCTTAATGCAATTCCCGAAAATTTACCTGAAGACCTCAATATTGAAGACATAGTCAGTCTTCTGGGAACTGACAATTTAGGTAACCAGAATCCCTCCTACTTACTAAATCATCTTAATCAAGAAAATGATTTGCCAAGACTGCCTTACATTCCCAGAAGATTGAAAGGACGCCCATTTCCTAAAGCTGCGTGGATTAACGACTTGGAAAGGCGACAAATGGAGTATGAGAAACTGAATGAGAAGGATGAAGAGCTGGCTGATTACTTGGCAAAGATGCTGGCAAAATATCCTGAAGTTATCAATACAAGTCAGATGAAGCGAGTTCCCGTTCCAGCTTCTGAAAGCGACCTGCAGGAAGACGACCGGCTGGAGCAGGCCATCAGAGAGCACCTAGGCCAGGTGGGACCACAGGAGGCCGCGAAGCTGGCATCACTCAGCAAAAGGCTCTCCATGGCAGGGGACACCGATGACACGCAAAACAGGCAGTATCTGGATGAGGATATGCTAGCAAAGGTGCTAGAGTATCTAAAACAGGAGAAATCAGAGCTTGAAAGAGATCACATTACTAAACGGGCAATGGAAAACATGTAATTGTTCCCCAAATATGATTTCTCTCCCCAATGTGTTGACTTCTATCCCAATTCAGTTGTGATTTACTCCCACTCTCCCACTAAACAACTTATGGTAGACTACTTACCATTGAACAGTCTGCATATCTTTCTCAGAGCTGTTATCTTGTTTATTGATATACTTATGTATGTTATAAATGATGGGGCAAATAACAAATTGCTTCAAGTGTTTTAAGAAACAATTTAATGAAATCAAGTAAAACTACAATATGTAAACAACTGACCTTTGCATTGTTAATAAAACATGATAAATGAAAAGTGACAATTATCATTTGAAATTTTTAAGATTAATTGGATTATTTTGTTACTGTCTGTAGTGTTTTTTGTGGAGTATTGAATAAAAAAATAAAGCATTATATATATAGTTTTATTTACAAGGCTTTTTTCTATTCAGTGTTTTATTGTTGATGAATAAATTATTTCTGGACAATAGACTGTGTTTCTTTCTGGCACTTGATAAAGTCATAAAAATTAGAAATCAAAACATATTTTTACTTCTATGAACATTTTTTGAAGTCTATTATTTTACTGTGAATTAATTTGGTTGAATAATTATGTTTTTTCTATGCTGTAATACCACTGACTGGCATTATCATCAAGGGTACTGAATACCTGAAGAGCTTGCTGAGGTCAACCAGGGCAGTAACTGCATTAGGTTTTTTTGAAAATTGGTCCCCAAATCATTAACGATTTTGTATCTCATGGCAGAGGGGGAAGATAAATGATCTGTCTAAGACAGACAGACTATTGTGAAGCCCTAAAAATATAAAATTGAACCTTCATATCTGAGCAGCAGACAGGAGGTTCTGCAGATGGGTTCCTTGCCACCTTTAATGATGGGTACCATGCAGAAAGAAACAAGCCCCAAGGGAAGCAGAGAACTAAGACTGCTGGTAACATCCCTTTCTTGTCTAACAAAATGGTTGCTAAATATATTCAGAAGCATACACAGAACCTTTATTATTCACTACATTACGTGATATTCTGGACACATGAAAGGTCTCTTGAGCGCCTGTTAAGACCTGTAGTGGATGTTCTGGAAAAGCTACAGCTCTTTTCCAGAACTAAATGTGCTTGTGTAACTCTGTGAGTCATACATGTTTTTCACTGGGGTATCTCAGCCATAAGCATTTCCAGGATTACAGTTTAAAAGTGGTTCTCCCTGAGGTATTCTTCAGCATCTCATCTCTGCTAAGTGGGGTGGGGATGATTTTTGGCGAGGTAATGTCTAATGAAGCAAAGCACAAAGGCTGCAGAAATAACACTTCATTTCCAGTGTCACCATTACCCGGAGCAATTGTAGATGATAGGAGTTCAGCCAGAGCACTTGCTTTAGGCCACATTAAAATTCCTCTCTTCCTTCTTACTTGAATGAGTCAAAACATTAAGTATAGAGTTGAAAACATGCGAGAGTTAATTTTGCATCTGTACTCTAAGGAGGGACAAACCTGTTGGCATTCCAGCAGTAATTGCTTGTGACTCTGGCAATGTATTTTACTCAAAACAAAAATGTGCTTTAAAAATATACATGTATCACTTTTATCACTTTGCTTCTTAACATTGTCATTCTGCTTGATCCCAATACTGTTCTGGGCAGGGCTGGGCAAACCCCTCGGAGGGTACAGATGCCTTGCTGAAGGCTGTGCTGGGGCAGGACCATGCAGCAGGAGGCAGAGCTGCAGGAGCTTGTGCATGGATTCGGCACTCCTAGCCTCAGTTGGAGGCATACAGGGTTACAGATGTGCTGTTCAACACAAGTGATGAGCACCACCGGGACACCAGGCTAAACGATTACAAATGTCTTTAGCAGGGCTTGGTCAAAGTTCAGCAAGGATAACAGTAATCTTGACCATGGCTCTTGTGTAGGTCCTCATGGCTAAACTAGATAAAAGTTCATCCTTTTTTTTTTTTTTTTTTTTTCCCACAGTTTGAAAATGAAAACTATTTCATTTTTATTTTTTTCTTTTTCTTTTGCTGCCTTCATTTATTTCAATGGTGACATACAAGGGTGGTTTTAAAAAGGAGCATCTCCACCCATGCCAGTGGCAGCCGAAGCAAGCCCCGAGGAGCAGCACCCAGAGCTGTACAAGTTGCTATGGCAGCCCAGCAGCGCTCAGGCTGAGCATCACACCGAGGACACGGTCATAAAAACTGCTTGGCAGTCTCACCCTTTGTTTCTGCTTTGTGCTAAGATGGCACTCAGACAGCCTCCGCTACAGCCCTGCCGGCCCCACCATGGGTGTCAGCACTGCAGTGCACAGGCTCGGAGCGCCGCGTTCCCTGCAGGGCCCCTAATGCCAGGGAAGCTCCCAAGAGCCCAGCATCTTCCCGAGGGACTTGGCTGAGTGCTTGATGTTTTCATCAAGTAGAGAACAAAGCCAGCAGGCTGTAGGGTTCACAGTTTATGTTTATGTTTATTTGTTTTGTTTTTAAAGTCGATGTTTGAGCTTGTGTCGGAACTATGATGTTAGACACCAGATGTTAACTTAGCAGTATTCCTACTGCTTAGCTATCTCCCTGTCTTGGAAAGACTTATTCCAGAGAAGGATGAGGCTCACAGGTCCCGTCTCAGCTTGGCCATACCAGGCAATGATGTACTTCCAGGTACAAGGTGTGCGGAGGGCCTAGACGAGATGCCACACAAAGGGAACATGGTCAGGCCTGACTGATGGTAGTTCCAAGCCCATCAGTCTCATTTCCCTTCCATCACAGCTCATAGCACTCCCTTCCCCTGGGCTCCCCAGCAGTTGTTTGGCACAAGTGCTGCCTCCTGGCTCATATTCAAAGAGAGAACAGTGAAAAATGTGGATACAAGAATGATTTGGGGTCTAAGGAACTGAAGCACCTTTAAGTCTTGTACAAGTATGTGCATTACGGGGCAGATTCATACAGAGACTGCAGAAGAATAAAACAAAGCCGTGCCTCAAAGCAGAAGGGATGTGACCCCCAATTCCTCACCTTGCCATAATCTGACTTCTTCATTGCATGGGGAGGTGGGAGTCCTGTAGCTCCTTTGCAAAGGGATCTACGAGAGATTTCCTACAATATTCTCCTCCTTCAGGTTTTTCCCTTGTTCATTCTTTCTGAGCACCAAGGCAGCTGTTTGATTCCCCCCCCCCCCCCCCCCCAGTGATGCTCCTGGCCTCTTGCGCAGCTGGGCCAGCAGCAGTTTGGCATGCAAGGATGAGAAAGGGCAGGCCATTCACTCCAGCTCTTTGTTGAAGTACCAAGCTTCAGAAAAGCCAAGCTTCGGCATAAGTAACTGCACCAGTTTATAAGAACATCTCACGTACAAAGTGTGCAAGCCATTAGGGGCTTTGTTGCTTGCAGTTTGTCTTCATAAAAAGGGAAGAGTTGTTGAACTTGAAATAAGTCATGTTATGCAATAGAACTACATGGAGGTGTCAAGCTGATTTTAAGTTGAGAAACAACATTAGTATCCTTTCCTCTTCTGGATGTAGGAAATAGATAGATAAAAAAAAAAAAAAAAGAATCTCCAATTCCTTTTTCAAATGAAAAGAGCAAATATCATATAGGCAGCACCCTCTTGGTAGCTGTAGCTTGGTACCTAAGCAAAGTTAAACCCAACTTTGCAAGGCACCACAATCCAAACACACGCCGTGGGATGAGAGCTGCTCCGTTAAACCAGCACAGAGCTGCCCCCTGCAGAGCCACGCCGCGGGGCCCCGCTGCTCCAGTGCCCACAGCCGCTGGGCTGTGATTTTCTGCGCTTTTTTGTTTTCCTTATGAGTGTAGTGGGACAAAGCCATGCTGTTAGCAATGCACACAGACTGCATAATCCACAGCAGACACACCGCCAAGCCATAGACTGATTGTTACAATTATGCACAAAATAACGTGACCACCCTGCAAGCTTTACTCAGCCGAAGTAAGGAGGAGAGTTTTAATTCCCCCTTTGTGCTACAATTTCACAGCATCCTGGATGCAGCTGGTTTGCACGCTCTGTTTATCGGTGGCTTTTGTCTAGGAGATAAAAACCTTTCTGCTCAGATCGTATTCTTAAAGGCTGCAGTAACTTTCACAGTGTTCTCACGGTTCACCTCCTCTCCAACAAGAAGGCTGAACAGATTCTGTATTTGGTCTGAATCTAACAAGCTGCTCGACACGTTTCTGAAGACCTGAGGGAATTCTCGTTTGTACACACACCAGAATTCACTGTGTTAGTATCCATGAGAGTTAATACCACTTTTTCCCCCACTAATTCACGTGTTACTTCAAGTGTTTTGTTTATATCTGCTTCTTGATGGCTCCATTATTTTGTCAGCTGGGGGCGATGAAATGACAACATTTGTTGATTCAAAAGTTAATGTAACCACATTACCTCATTTGAAGAAATTAGACTGTTGCAATTATTTTTTAAAGGGTATTTCTACACTGCAGTGAAAGGGGATTGACTCACACGCTATGGCAGTTGTTATTGTGTCTCAAAGCACTTCACAACATCCCTTGTTTTGCTCCCAAAGCGACTCGCAGCATCTCTGACTTCCTTCACACACCGGTGGGTGAAGCGAGGCTGGGACACGGGCATCCTGAGCAGTGCTTTAATTCCCAGCTTTACTGTGGTATTTTAGCTATTGCTGGCTGATGAGAAGCCCAATGTTTCAAACCCTGCTTCTCCCACTAAACCCTACCCAGACCAGCCTTCCACCACTGCAGTGCAAACGTTGCACCGTGGGCACGGAGCACGGCTGTGGGCAGCAGACACAATGAGCACCACGCGGGGACGGCGTTCTCTGGAGCACCCCCACCTCCCCCCAGGACACACAGCACTGATCCGTGCCTATTTGCTAAATGATGTATAAATCCAGGCAGGCACAGCCGGGTGCCAGCTGTACTTCGCATTTGTTCGGCTTCCCCGGTGCCTCCGCAGAGGCCTCGCCGAGCCGCAAGGACTCGGGCTAGCAGCAGGCAGGTGCAGGGTCCCTAGCGCATAAAGTGGGAAGGAGAAGCCCTGAATCAGAGCTGATTGTCTGAAGAGCCACACTATTCCTGACTTTTGGATCATTTGAAGACATTTGAGATCGTTAATAATTCATTTGCAGATGTTGCAGAGCTCTAAATGTGACTGATTAAATGCACTTGACGTTTCTCTTGAGAGAGGCTGTTATTCCAGGAAACCACTCACTCTCTGCAAATGTCTTGGAATTAGCGTACTCAAAATTATGGGCTCACTTACAATGTTTTCCCCTTGCAAAGGAAGAAAAGCAACCTCTGCTTTGAAATGTAAGGTACTCTGGTGAATGCCTGTATTGCAGGGGTTTGAAACTCACACCAGGCATTCAGCAGAACTACCGAGCAATGACCAGCGGTCGGGTGCAGAGAGCTCTGCCTTCCTCTGCTGAGACATGCTGTGGACACTGAGCTCTGCAAGCCCACCTCAGTGGAGAAGAGCTGGAAAATTGTTGTTCGGCAACTCCCCAGCTCCTACAATGTGCTTCCCAAAACCTTCCTGATGTCTGCCTAAACACAGAGCCCCTGGCTGCATCCCGGCAGAAGAGGCAGCCTCTGCGGGGTGCCTCACAGTCAGAGGAGCAGGAGCTAGGAGAAGTAATGAGCTCCGTGCTGCCTTGGTGGCTCCCTGACTATGCCACCAAAATTGTCCCAGTACATTTGTTTTGCTTTGTGCTTAAGCTGGATTAAATCTCTCTGGGTGTAGCTGTGGGGTGTTCCATTTAAGTGGGAGCAGAGCGTTTGTACCAATCTGGCCACATGTATTTAAAGAGGGTGGCCCCAGCAGGGCAGTCTGTGGTGGCTGCAGAGCAGCAGGCGTCCCACCCACGGGAGGCAGTGGGACTGATCCCTGCCAGAGCCTCAGCTCGGATCACCTGGGTGAAGCCTCTGTGGGTTGCTTTCCTCCTGCCCCAAGCCGGGCACCGCAGCACACGGCAGGGCAGGCACACGGCGCCTGCTGGGCCCATCCTCTAGGTGCAGCACATTGCAGCTACTCCTTCCATGGTCGTTTCTCATTGTCTATTAAAACCCTTTCCAGAATCGTGATTCCCTGATGTGCGTCTGTTTCCATCTCAACAGATAGCTTCCATTTAGGTTGACATTGTAAATCCATTGCCCCTAAATTTAAAAGGAAGCCTCCCGTGCACGCTTTCCTCTCTCCTCCTTGACCCAAGGGAAGGCACCGTGCTGTTTGGAGGCACAACGCCTCAGTTCTGTGAGGAACCTGTTTTCTGCTGCGGCTGTGTGTTTTGCCACCTGCTAGTAAATGTCAGAGCAGAGAAACAAAGCACTTACATGCTCCCAGTACTTGTGCTCCCACACGGGGGATGTAAGAGCCAGGCCAGGAACACCACGTACAGACACTGCAAAGATGAAAATAAAGATAAACCATTAAAGGGCATAAAACCAACGTGCTTCACTTGTCATTTACGTGACATAACAACGGGAAATGTGTTAAAAACCTGTAAGTGGGTTTTGGGACACAAACACAGTCTGACAGGAAAACTGTTTTCCACAAAGTTGTGTTCACTCAGAGCCAACATACGATCAATGGATTTTTCTTCCTGCAAAAGAAGTGCAACAAAGCAGGAGCTTCACACCAATGACCAGTGACTAGCACATACAAGGTGAATAAGAAAAGACAAATATATTCTATATGTAAGCCTGCAAATACCATTATAGTCCAACAGCTAATTTAGACAACAGAAATGTTGGTGCTATATGAACTCGTAAGTCCTTTAATCTTACACATGCCACTGGACCTTCCTCTAGAAGCAGTGGTCAGGTTGAAGTTTGCTTACACATATTTTTTGGCTCTCTAATTTCTATTTGAATGCTGTCAGCCCCCACTCTCTCCTTGCTGGGTGCTGGGAAGCACAGACCAAAGCTGGTGCCACTGCAGCCACACAGACCCTTAGGGATGGACGATGTGTGGGGGCCACTGTGGTGTCACAGGGCTCTGCCTGGTGCACACCTGGGCCTTCCCCTGCAACAGAGGGGTCATTTTGTTCTGTGGTCTTCTTTAACTACTGGGAGGAAGGTTGGGGGCAGGACTCAGGGCACAGCCTCCGCCTCTGGCAGTTGCCCCACATGGGGAGCCACCAAGCCAGGCTGGGCTCCTCAGTGTTGCTTTGGCTGTGAAGTCCTTGGAGACCACCCTCAAGTGCACCCTACAGAGCCGATCCCTGTTGGACACACAGAGGGCCACGTCAGGTTCCAGATCTCTTGGCTCCACACTAAGATGCTGTTTGTAGCATCCCCTCAGCCCTCCTGGTCTCCTCTCCAACCAGGCTGCAGCAGTAACCCCCAAACACAAAACTGTTCAAGTACAGGAGCACATCCATCAGCACGACTAAATGCTATTATTGGTGTGTGTGTGTATAGCATCCTCAAGGCAAGAATGGAGGGAAGTAAGTAGTTTGAACATTAAAAATATGCTAAGATAAATTGAGGCAGGTGGATCAAGTTCCCGAGGAACAATATTTTGACAGCAGTCTTCCAAGAAAATTCTGAAGTGCAATCAATGTAATCAATACTCTACTCAGACACCTTTGCCCAACCATGCAATCTACACCAACTGCCGGAAAATCAGGTTGGCTTTATTTCATTAACCCAGCTCAAGGCAACATTTACATTTTTAACCTAATGTGGTGTGCTCACTGAAATGTTCTCCTAAGACAGGTGATGAACGATGCTGTGGAGGCCTCCCATCCCTGTCACCTGGCTACCGCCACCTGCCACAGAGAAAATAAGTGGTAATTGGCAGTTTGGCCGTGTGGCAGATTGATGGAGGTGTTTGGGGAGACTGGGCAGGTGGCTCCCTGCAGATCAGCAAAGGCAAAATGTCCACTGCCAGGCCTGCGGACTCCTGTGCTGCGTTAGGCACTGGGAAGCCTTGTGTCTTTGAGCTGAAACCTCGGTGGGTAACTTCTCGGCTAACTTGTTTGCTAATCAGGTTGCATAATTTCCTTTTCTGCCATTTTCCTTCCTTCTGGCTCGTCTCAGTGCATGATTCAGTAAGCTGGATTAATCATCTTCATAGCGAATTCTGAGTCTGCTTCACTGCTGAAAAACTTCTTGCTGTCCAGCTCCTGCATCTAAAGCATACAGAATGGGGAAATACAATAAAATACAATAAAATACAATAAAATAAAATAATAAAAAAAAGAGTCTTCAGATTGTAGGTATTTTTTTTAGCATTAATTCCCATGCTACAGCACCTTTCCAAAGAAGCAGCCAAAAGCAGCAGAGGACTGTTTTATAAATATATAAAAGATGTGGCCTTCTAGAAAGACATCCTTCACATATCATACTGCAGAGATAGAGCAGAATTTAGCTATTATACACCAAGATTGTTGGCACATTTGCCTTACTCCTAAGGAAATGACATTGCCTTGTAGCTCACCTTTTACAGTGCACGCTTTTCTGCCTGTGCAATTCATTATTCAGTAGTCGATCTCCTAAACAGTCTAAGGCTGATGTCCCTAGGAAATGAGTTTTTTAATATTCTTCTTGATGAACATGTGTTTTGTGGCACCTGAAAATAGATGTACTATTTTTCTAGGCCCATTGCATATTTTACCTATCAAGCCATACATTTTAGTGGCTGCATCTTGCTATGTGTTAAGTTGGAAAACCAATTTAAGCAGTCATTTGACTGACAAGATGATTATTTGTCCTCCTACGTACCCTCCAAGTACAAAGTTGGATTTATAGCTCGCTACTTTACATCGTTCAAAAGCCTAGGAACAGGGAACACATTGCCTTATCAATTCTTGGTAGGTGAGCACAGGAGTGGCAGTGTACCTCGTAATGAAGGCTGTCGGGACGTACAGAAGAGCAGCTCCTACAGTTAAGCTGTTGGTGGGTTAAACCTGTTCGACCTTCATGGATTAAGACCGAGCTGTGCAGAGACCTCTTCTGCCACCACATCTGATGACCAGCGCTGGGGCTCCTGCTTGGCTGTCTCACGAGGAAAGCTCCAGCTCTGGCCACTCAGTGCTGCCACTGCTAACGCAGGTTTCTGGTGAAAGAAGCTGCAGAGAAGGCCAAGGGATGCCAGTGTCCTAAAAATATTTGGAATTGCTAAAATATTTGGCTACCTAAAACCAGGCATCTACATTAAGCTAGCTCTTCTTTCAAAGTTAATGAAAATGTTGAAAACACTGGACTTTGCACTGCCTTTTCCATAGAAATAGAATAACTTTCGTTCCTTACAACTTTCCAAAGCTTTCCTTACAAGTAGGGGAAACCGAAGGCAGTAGCTGGGGCCACACAAGAACAGATTTGCTTTTCGCTGACCCATAGTCACCCATTTATCATTACATTCATATGTTATATGAATCAAAAAATAAAATAAGTTTCTTCAATTGAAAAAAGAAAACAACCCTCAAAACTTTTTTTTTTTTTGTTATATGTATTTTGAAGTTTTTAAAGGTCTTACATAAAAATGAAGTACAAGCTGAAGGTAAGCACCATCCCTAGATGAAATAAACTGTAATAACTTTTGAAAATGTCCTTTCTGTTTAGCTTCTGGATGTGTTTTGTTGATTTTTTAATTTTTTTTCCCTCCCTTTTCAGGATTCTGCAGTCTGCTTTATTCAAAAGAGTTTCATTTTTAAGGAAAATAATATTGCTTCAAGAAAATAGAAGATCACCCACTTCTTTTAGCCCAGAAAGCAGAAAATAATCTCAATTTTTAGGTGTTTCTGTAGCCGACAGCATCTGTAACAGGGTTTCAGCCCTTCTTCATGCAAGAGAATTACTGAAGAATTAAATATAATACAAACGTACTGAGACAGCACTACAGTTCAATGCAAACTATTCTACATTTAAAATCAAGCATCCTCATCACTACAAAAGCACGATGAATCCTGTCAAGTCTGGCAGGGATCACGAGCATGTTGCAGCACGCAGCAGCCGCAGGCTGGTCCGCAGAACGACCCACTTGGCTTCCTCCACCTGTGATTTGAAATTCGGAATGATTTTCAATTTAGTAATGCTGGCAGAGCGGTTCAGCTGACTTTTAAAGTTCATTTCCAGAACACAGGCCAATTTAGCAAGTAATTTGCCGAGAGCATTCCCCTGATTGCAGTCTGTTTTTCTGTCCATTTCTGAGAGCATGAAGAGAGCAGCAAGGCGGAGAGCAGCACCAGTCACCCCAGGCAATACCCTCTAAGCATGAGATGTGACTCTAAGTGGACATATTAAAGCATTGAGATGCCAATTATCTACTTCACTTTAATGAAAATTATTCTTTTCATTTGCAGGGTGATTCTTCCCCAGACCTCCCAGACCTGCGATTGCCATCGCTCTGATGCTAGCACCAAGCCATGAGACATGAATCATGGTGCCGGAGAACTGCTCCCACAAAGACTTCCATGCTCTCGAGTCCCACCTGACGTTATGGTGCTCGTAGGATACCGATGACTGCACATATCTGTCAGATGGAGCAATGCACGAGGGACCTCTTGGTGAAACATCTACACGTCTCCTCTGGAGCCCAACCCACGCGGCCAGCTGCCTGCAGCACGAGGCAAGGTTCCCCCAGATCCACCTTTCCCCGGGGAGCACTGGCTCCTCTCCCCTGCTATTGGGCACCTCACAAGTCATTTTCTGAGTGGGGTTCAGAGCGTTAGCTGTTACAGATAAAATATTTTGAATTTATTACATTCTGGTCTCACTCTTTGCAGAGCTGTAGCAAAGTTTGTTATCACTTGCCTAACCATGCTCTGCTAACATATGCATAGAAACAAATTTATGGTGAAAATCTGATTGCACTGAGCTCGGTAAGAGTCCACCACAACCACCAGCATCTCCCAGACTTCGTTCTAATCTTCAGAGCCCATGTCTGTGAAATGGTGCCTGTCCTTAAAGAAAGGTCTGCAAGTTCCCTCCTGTTTCTAATGCGTCTTTTTAATCTTGTGTTAAGATCTACCTTAACCAGGCGCTAAGCTCCTAAGCCTTTCCACACTTCCTAGAAAATATTCCATTATGTTCCTATGCTTAAAATAGAAAAATTGCTCAAGATTTTGGTGAAAACAACGTAGCTGTAACAGGATGCTTATAGCTACCATGTGGGAGTTCGGTGACACAGCCCCAGGACCAGCTCTGTGCCTGGAGACGGGGAGGTGCACCTAAAGGGGGGGTATTAGAAAAGAACAGAACCCAAAGCACGCAGCGTAAATGAGAGCTGCAGCCACATCCAGAGACACATCCAGAGACCAAAGGCAGCTGCTTCAGCCTCCTGATGCTCTCCAGGGCATGCACAGCACGGAGCAGTGCCCCAGCAGCCCTGAGAGGACGCCGGCTCCCGTTGGCGGCAGCAGCAGCCTCTGCACCATTGCTCATTCACATGGGCACATGCAGAACGAGCAAGAGACTTAGGAGAGATGGCAGTGTAAACTGTTATTCAATTTCCATTCCTGTTATCATCATTCATCTGTTTTGCTGCCTGTCTGCTGCCTCCCAGGCCTGATCTCCAGAGAGATTTTCTGCTGGGGTGATTTCTTTCTGCAGGACTATCTGCCTTTCTCGGGTTGACTGTGCAAGTGGAAATGAAATTCTGCTGAAACAGATTCATTAAAAGAAGATTAGTGAGATTAGCTGAGCTGTAGCTGTGTTGTGCCTTCCCCATGTGCCTGAATGTAAAGAATCACTCTGCAAATGACAGAGCGAGGGGCTCGTGGGTCTCCGGGAGCTCGGCCTGCTGGGGCCCTGTCAGACAGCTATTTACCAGCAAACAGATGCGGTGCCATCTTCTACAGGTTTCTGTTGCCATACACTCACTTGCACAGAGAAAAAAAAAAAGGATTTTTGTGGAAGGAGGGCTCGGGCCTGCTGCTGCCTCTGCGGGCCCGAGGCAGAGAGGGGAGAGCTCTGCTTCACAGCTTTGCACCCCGGCAGATGAGAAGCAAAATCCCAGCTCCTGGTCACACGTGCTGTGCTTCTTCCCTACCTAGCTGCTGCTGTTGCTGCCCAAACCGTTCCCTGCAGGTAGTCTCTGGTGCACCCCAGGTTTCTGGGGCTGCCTCAGCGGCTCACAGCCATCAGGCAATGGGTTTCCCACCTCGGGCTCCACACAGACCGTGGTACTCAGCTGCGTGTGGTCACTGCCACTTGCAACGCTGTGCCTGGCCACCACGGCACTGTCCGCCTTGTCCCTTGCACCCAGGCAGAGGAGGAAGGGCAGCGGGCAGTGATCAGCGGGGAGGAGGCAGACCGGGAGCTGCTGCCCTTCCTGTCTCAAAGCACACAAGCAATCCATGGCATTCAAAAGCAGCAAACACAAGCTGGTGTAAGGAAGGCTCACCAGTGCCTCGGGCTGCTACCAGCACCAGAGAGCACCCATGTGTGGGGTGCCAGACCCCGGGGCACCCTGCGTGCACCAGAGCCAGAGACTGCACCTACAAGGACATGAGCTGGCCACCAAAGGGCCTTGCAGGAGGCATTTGTGTCCCTTGCTGTCGTCCAGATGTGTTTGGCTTCAGCCAGCAACAATTCCCATCTCTAGGAGACTGCAAATAGGGCATCACAAGAGCTCTGCTGTTTCAGCTGCATTTCTGGAGAAAGCGAGCCCTTTGCGGGGCTTGGAGGAAAGTTATCAGGCATTTAGGAATGAGAATGAATCAGGGATGTTAAAACACTTAGGAGAGTATTTAGGAAATATGTTTCATTACAGTATATGCAAACTCCATTTGCAGCTTGAGCACACAAGAGTCTTTACGAGGGGAATTTACTGCTGGAGATAATGAGCCCGTTTTCACCAACATGTAAATCTGCCCGCTGCTTGCTGGGGCTGGTGAACAATCAGAGCTCAGACCATCGCTACTGAGTGCTTTGCTAACAGTGTAAACAGCAGTGGTATTTGGAGTTTTGTTTAACAGAGGGTGGAGATTTAAGTCACTTTTACAATATCATTTAATACGGAGTAAGCTTCTGCAGATCATACATCACTATTCAGGCAACAGTCTGTAATGTCTTTAAGCTACATCTTTAAATTATGAATAATACCTATTAAAAAATCATAACTCTTATTTGTGGTAAGCATCTCTGAGCAAAGACACCGTCAGAATAATCAGAGCCTATTTCACAAATGCAGTATCTGTCCACATCCCATGGTACAGTTTGTAGGATCGGCACACCCATTACAACAGCTTATTGCACCTCTTAAAACCAACAGGCTGAAAAGTGCTTCCCAGCAATGATCTTCCTGCTTAGGAAGCAAGTTAAGTTCCTTCCAAGCCTACAACTGAGCATCTGAGAGCATGAGAAGTGAGGGGGATGCAAATTTTAAGAAAGTCCTCTGTAAATTTGAGAAAATGATTTTATATACACAAAGATTGGCTTATCTTGGCTCAGGAAGCTTACTTTCAGATAACATGAGATGAGCGTGACATCTCCTTTCTGTCCCCATAGTCACAAGGAAGCTCAAGGAGAGGTCTGAGCTGTATCCACCATACGGTGAGACCCTTTTGGGTGACATCCTGGAGGACATCAAGCTTCTAAACCCCAAAGTGCAATCCAGAAACCCACCCTCTGGAAACACAGAAGTCTAGCCATGGTCCTCAGCTTGCTTCACGCATACAGGCTGGTAAGCTTTGAACCAAATATCCACCATCACCGCCTGCGTGAGAAGCCCCCCTAGGTGGGTGAGCTTCCTCAGCCAGTGCCACCAGTCCCTGGCCGCTCTGGGGCAGGGACACCCGGCGTAGTGGGGCAGGACCACGGCACGGCCATGGCGGTACTTCTCACAGAGGCCTCCTGCTCCCCCCATCTGCCTCCAACTGCTGGCCCCGGGTGGCTGGAGGGCAGGCACGGCCACAACCCCAGAGCTTCTCTGATCGCACCAACTGAAGGCAGCAGCCAGCCGTAATGCAGGCTTTTCCTCTAACCACTTTTCTTCTAATCAGCTGCATAAAGGCCAACCACGACCCGTGCACCACAGAGCAGGATGGAAAAGCTGCGCAGAACTGCCAAGTTGAAACCAGCCGCTTATTTAACCTCAGGAGTTTCATTTTCTGACTGCCTCAGAAACAGTGGATATATATAAATAAAGGAGCAAAGTGAAGACCATTAGCAGAAGCAGACTTTATGAGATTTCACACGCCTTCATCAGGAATCCATGCTGCACCCGCTGTGGGTGCTGTAGTTGGCAGTCCGATTCGTACGGGCCTGGCTCCTGCCTGCAAGGGCTGTCCAGCTGCGAGAAAGCTGGCTTTGAAAGCTGCACCCAGACCTGCCCATTTTCCATGTGCACCGATGTCCGACAGCGTAACAACAGACTGAGGGGGTCAGCATACTGATGCCAGTGAGGCACACCATGTTTTCCAAGGCTGTAGCACTGGAGGCTCCCTCCTGCTCTGAGCCCACTCCTCAGGCAGCCATTTCATGTAATCCCGTCCACAATGCAGCCGACCACCAGGCAGTCCTCGCAATGAGGTGTGAGGACAGGAGACCAGTCTCTTATGGGTCACAGGCTCCTCCAGAGCAGGACTGAACCCCAGGCGAACGTCCTGCTCACCACCTGGAGAGCCAAGTGTCCTTTTGTTCTCCGTTATCTGGTCCCAGGAACCTGCCACTGCCTTCTCAGGAGCTCTGTCCCTCCCAGAACACATTAATCTGAAACAAGGTTAAAACTCTTTCTTGAGAAGGGGTACGAGTTATTCAGTCCTGTGAAGGTGTGGGAGATCCAGGGCCTGGTTAGCAGCCTCCTGCAGCAAGTACTAGGCTGGCATGCCCAAAGGCATTGCTGCTGGTACCACTGGTACCTCAGAGCACTAGGACAAGACATAAGTGCCTCTGGGTTTCTGCAGCACACAGAAAACAGACCAGTTACGCTGTGGGACCACTCTAGGCTGCTGAAGGAGGTGCTCCTTGGGTATCAGTCTTAGGTATCGGTAGGTCTTGGTAACGCAATAATTTTTGGATGTTTCATGTATTGATGGCCAGTCTCCCTTTCTGGCAGCTCATTTTTCCGCTGAAGAAGCCAGCTGTCGACATGAGGCTCATCTGTTTGGAACATTAACTCTCTTTAATTCTCACTTTCTTGGTGGGCCTTTGCCATAGAAACCTGCCGTAGCAACAGGGAGGCAGAACAGCAGCGGCTCAAGCCAGAGGCGTTAATGAGGCAGCCCCAGCCACTCTGCCCGCAGCATCAGCTCATGCCCTGCCTCCCTGCTTTCCTTTTTTTCTTCCAGCAGGGCATCACTAATAGATGAGCATTTCTAGCAGAATCAGGCTGTGGGGCAGCTGCATTGGAAAACTGTTTGGCACCACTTTGAAAGGGCCCTTCAATGTAAGTGCAGGTGGCCTGGCTTACCTACACAGCACGCCTGAGGGAAGTCCTTGCAGCTGTAATGCCTTGGCATGGCCAGGGTGATTTCTGGTATTTGTTACCATGGGTACAACACGGGCACTGGAGGAGCCAAGAGGAAAGGATGGGAACTGAAGCATCTCAGCATGGGCTCCGGAGTTGCTCTGCACAAGCGAGAGAGAAACAAGACTGACTCAAGACCCTAAAAACAACCCCATGAGTTTCGTGGGGAAAGAACATCCTGACCAAACCATGTCTGAGCAGCCTGAGTCCAGAGCCAAGCCAGAGCCATGCTTCCCTTGCATAGCCTGTTCGTGTCCTACCAGCTTGGAGTTCAGGTCTCCTGACAAGACATATCCACAGCTGCATCCCCTCTGGAGAGCCAGCAGAGAGCCACATCCCGGCTCTGGGATGGGCACATGCTGCCATCGCCAGCCTGAGCATCCTGTATCTTTCCACTCTGACTCATCCCATCTCAAACACACCTTGCACACTGCTGCCAGCCTCACACCATGACTCACACGTGAACCTACACCTCCCTCGCTTTAAATCCTTCCCTGCCAGGTCTTTCATTATCTGCTCTGCAGCCTCTGGGATAATCATCCAGAGGAAGAGCCCCGGTGGCCTGCATCTCCAAGTGCCTCTCCTCTGCTCACCTATCAGCATCAGGGCAGCATTACCTGCTAGAATCTGACCCGAATTTACAAACCTGGTTTGTAGGGAATAAGGAACAAACAATTTACCCACCCTGTCCTATTCTAGGGGATCAAATTCTTTGTCATTATGTGCTGCAGAATCTGCAGAATTTTTATTACATATAAACACACAATTGGGCAAGAAAATGCTTGCCTGGCTTTGTTTGTTTATTTGCTATTTTGCTATTTTAGTTTTACATTTTAATGTTTTCTAACTCTTGCCCAGTGATGAACATTTCTGCTCCAAGATGAGCAAGCATTTGTTTTAACGTTCTGACTGAAACTCGGCCCTGAGAGGGTTCGAATTAAAGCACATTCATTCAACACCCAATCGAAGAACCACAGGCTTGACTAAATGATTCATTCCTTATGTTTGATCTTGAAGACATTTGGAAACTTGGTTTTATAAAAGGCTGCAATTTATGAAGTCTGTTTTCTCCTAATATAAAGACATGAATCTGCATTTTTAGATGAATACTTATTGAATTAAATAAAGGAATCAACTTTTACTATACACAGAATATTCTCACACAGATCTATGAATAACTGCACATAAAGTTCACAGAAGAATCAAACATGCTAAAGGTTAATCTGTAATGCATCTTTCACCATCAAAGAGAGAAAATTTCAACATTTAGCATATTCTGGACATGAAGTTGAAAGTGACTCTTTGTGCCTAAGAAACAGGCAATAAGGATGTGAGAAAGAAAGATGGTCCTGCCTGAAGACAATTACTGAGATTTTTCTCACAAGGATAGGATGCACAAGCCTGCAACACGATGTGGCCATGAGCCTCTGTATTTTAATCAGTTGCTAATCAGGTAATTCAACTGAGCAGTTTGCTTTGGAAATTTAAAACAAAACCCCCCAATTCCCCCCAAATGAAGGTGGTCTACTAAGTGCACTGGGGAGAACTTACTTTTTATTTATATATATATATATATATATTTCCCCCAGAAGCTCTAATAAAGGCAGGAAAAACTTCAAAAGTCACACAACTCCAAACTGCTCCTAAAGAGCTGAGATTTCAGCGTGGCTCTTCTGCAGCCTCCCCCGAGCACCGAGGAAGCGAAGATGCCCTCAGCACCTACCCACTGGCCCTCAACGAGGCTACAGATGGAAAATCTTTCTGGCTAGCTGGGAGGCTTGCTGGAAGGTGAAGGTAAAACCTGAAGAGCACTTCAAAGTTGAGTATGACTTCAAAGAGCCCTGCTGGGGGACCTGCACCTGCAGCTTTTCAGGCTTTGGCACTGTTTGACTGTTTAGCATTAAACCATTCATTCAGCCAGCCCTGTACGATAAGTCCTTTAATGGATCTTAGGCTGAAGAAGATTCAGCCTGCAGACATCAAAAGTAAAAATGTAATCTGTCTTTCTTAAAGGAAGCTTTGATATACCTTAAAATGCCATATTTTCAGAGGTGGTTTTTTATCCACCCTTTTATCCTTCCCGGGGGCTTTTAAAGACTTAATAAATCCATGAGTTCCCATTGACCAAGCACAGCAGGTGCACATCTCAGAGCATCTCACTGGTGCATAGTGTGGCTCTGGCAATCTACAGCTGCAGCACCATGCCCAGGGTCTCACTGGAAAGCCTTCTCACGTGGCTGTAAGTCTAAGAAGCTCACATCATAGAAACGTCTGCAAAATTTTCAACCAGCCTGGTTCTCAATGATTCAGTGAAACTGCTTATACCCACCAAGGACTTGGCTCAGTGTCATTACATTTCAAAAACTAAATTGAAATATATAAAAAGCTTTCTTGGTTTTCTGCCCATCCTTGTTATATAGCCTCCATTACCACAGTATTGAAGTGCTTCATGATTTTTAACATACTTATGCTCACAGTACCTCACTGGGATGGAGAAGTGATGTTTTCTTTCTTTTACAGATTGCAATCCAAAAGGACGAGGCTCCAAATCAAGACTCTCAAACTCAATCCTTTAAGTGCTCCCCAAAACCCACCGAGTCCTTGGTCAAAAGTTTAATTGTCTCGATGCTTGGTGCTATCATCTTCCTTTCTGGCTACTTTCTGGGTACTAGAGTTCAAGAAAAACCACCCACCAGAAGATCAGTGCTTAGGATAAGAAAGAAATCAGATGCTCTGAAATTATGAAAGCAAGTCAAATCACACAATCCTGTTTAGGGCAATCTGGCACATCCACACTATTTCTCCTAACAAATAGGCCTCTTTGGACCATGTGGAAATCTGTTGATTTTTTCCCTGGGCATGATCAACACCCAGGCCAGCATGTGTCCATTGGAATATTTTAATCCTGTCTTACTTTCTCAGACACTTAGTGGGCAAAAGTGGAAGAAAGTTATAGATGAAAGAGATATTATGTGGTTGTGTGACTGTCACATAATGGAACACCCTCTCTGAGTAATTGCGTAAAGAGCAATTTTGTGGGTTTTGTTGAATAACTCAAGATAATTTAAGCCTTCATAAAAGGATAATGAAAATAAAAAATAATTCTTTTACAGGAAGCTGTCTCCTCATATACAGAATGCTAGAGGCACAACAGTTATGAATGTATTTTAATTTTAACATTTTTCAGAAAACTTTGCAACATTTTAAATGGAGGAAATTTTGCTCAAACTACCCAATTATTCATACCACAGCCACAAGTTCTGAATGCTGTGCATATACAATGCATAGCTGAATTCAGTATATGCATGGTATACATGCATAAAGGAAAGGAAAATCCCTGTTCCAAAAAAATATTTCAAACCACTTAAGAGAAGGGGATCAGAGTTTGTCTCCTTACTACCTTACCTACACCTGCATCACCTTCCTCCACTCATATACTTAACAACTTAAAAATCTGATTCTTGCCCCATATGCTCCTAGTAGAGGGCTGTTGCAGAGCCACTCCAGGATCTCATCAATATCATCTAAAGACTCAAAATGCAGAAGTTACCTGAAGTTACTTCTCCTTTTTGGAAGGGGACAAATAGAATCAAGAGATCCAGCCATTTACTCTGACCTACCCAGAATCTCTGTGGCAGAGCTGGAGAGTTGGTGTTGGGTCTCCTGCCTCCCAGTCCTCACTTAGCCAAACAACAAGAGTTGTTAAACAAGGCACTGAAGATGAAAGCACTGAAAACACAGCCACAGCCACAGTGATCAGATTTAGGGACTGGTCCTCTGGTTTGTTTTAGCTCTGTTGGGCTTCCCTAAGAAAACACCAACACCTCATTTTTCTCAAGGTGAGGGTTTGGTCTGCAGTACTATTGTTACTTTTGTTTGGGAAAAACAAAAAGCAAACAATGACAAGCATAATTCCGTTCAGTTCTTGCAAATGCCACGCTCGGCAGCAGGGAGCCAGCCTCTGATCTCATGTACACCGGGGCAAAGCCATGGCAACAGCGCTGCTGAAGCACAAGAGCATCTCCTGCTGCAGGGAGCGCGGCAGCAGCCGTGCGTCCTCCCTCGGCAGCAGCTTGAAGCAAGACAGCCTTGCTCAGGAAGAGGGAAAGATCTAGATTGCTGCTCGGGACCACCAGCAAGGTGCAGAATCCTGCACGATTTGGCTTGGGCAGCGGCTGCTGCCCGCTGGGAGGTGTTGTGGGGAGCGTGGCAGTGCTGAGTCAGGCCGAGGGAAGTGATGCAGCCAGCAGCGTCAGCACAGGACGAAGTTTCTTCTCTCTAGGCAGCCCTTGTGCTTGTTTTTCATCCTGCAGAGCAGGGCCCCTTTGCACCTTTCCAGACAGCAGCTGAACTGTCTGTAACAGCAGAGTTTCAAAACGCTGTTCTTTAATGATGTTTCTCTTGTCGCAGATGCTCTGTTCAGTGCCAATGACACAAGACGCTGTGTGCTGTTGGCAGCAGCATGAAGTGCAGCAGAGCCATAAAGAAGGCTAAGTGCAATGCAGCAGCAGGTTTCGGAGGGCAGGACAGCCTGGCTGCCACCTTTGTCCAGCAAATGGCCACACACCGGTTCCCCACACCGCCCCAAGCCGAGCAGTGACCTGCTGTTTTCTCTGTCTGAGGTGGGAGGACAGGGCTGGCCATAAAGTATAGGTAACCATTACACAGGCGTGTCTAACAGATCAAGTCATCACTTTTCATGCTTCATACTTTCAAGAAATCAAGCCTGTGTATCACTGCAATAATCGAGAGCATGAACACTTCCAAGAGACACAGCTACTGCCATTAACTTGTCCCTCCCTGCCCCTCACTGTGCCCTGTGGCCCGTCAGCAGTCACTGAATGATGGAGTTACCTTTCTGACCCAGCTCTTTGCTTCTGACACCTTGCACATCCCTGTGGTTTAAAACATAGAGCTCACAGTCATCTGGGTCCATCTGCTCAATTCCAATAGTATTTCAGGCTTGTGATGGTAATAACTTCTTTGAGTAGTCTCATTGCACGTGTGTTTCCACCTACACAAATAAGGGATACCGTATTTGCAAATACAGTAAGAACAGGGCGGTTTTATAAGAAACAAGAAAATCAGGAACCAAAGAGGA